AACTAACAGCCATTGCTAAACCAGTTCTGCTTCAAACTCTAGAATATGGATTATTGCTTCACTGGGGAATCTAGTCTACAGAATTGCTTCTATTCAGAAGCCCATTTCAGCAGCATTTGTTGATTTGCTCAAGTGGCAGCATTTAGGTAGATTTGCTGAATGAACTCAGACCTTTGCTCCATCTCTTTTGGCGTCCTGCCTCCGGCAACAATCCCACCTCATGTCTGAGACAAAGATGACCATTCATCTACAAACCACACACCTGACCCCAGAAGCATACAATTTGATTGCCCTTATTTTTAGAAATGAGCCTAAGCCGAACCCCCTCAAATTTCAGAGAAGTTCTCATCTCAAGACAAATTGTGTAGCTGGTTCATAGCTCTATAGCCAACTAGATTAAGCAACCTTCAACCTTTGGGGAAGTTTGGACTGGATCCAAACTTTGGACTTCAGACTCTATGTGACTTGTTTCATGTACTGAACACACAATACCTTTACAGCGTAGCTTGCAGGAAAGGCTAAAAAATTTTTCCTATCACAACCCCCCTTTTCCAATCACTAACTTCCTCAAAAATGTTCCTTTGAGACTCAAACTTTCAATTTGGGGTCTTGGCTTAAAGGGAACCATTTATCTGGTGAATGTTTGAGCTAAGGTTTCTTAGCCATTATCCAGTTGTAGCAATGGAAATACAAATACATATTTTCTCCATTGCTAGAATGGTTAATGACTTTTTTGTTGGCTAATTTACTGCACAGTGGAAGAATAAGTGAGGTACTCAGAAGGGGAAGGAAGGACGGTTTAGGATATTTCAAAGTTCAAATGATATGTTTATGCATAAGTAGCAGAGAAGCTTTCATTGCAGTTTTAGTTACACCTTAACAGGATCCTGAACGAGCTGAGACAGCTGGACTCGCAATACTGCACTAACCCGTATTGTTCCAGAATAAAAAGTTGTCTACTGGACATGCAGTAAGTGCTTGTTCCTGGGAACCAGGACTCCTTCCTGAGACATCGGAGTCAGGGACTGATGGCAGAAGAAGAGGAGATACTGCTGCCTAGGAATTGGTCTGCAAGTAAGGAAGAGCTCCTTCCTGGAGTGGGTGTCTTTGGTCTTCTCTCTAGAACCACCCTGTGTGCCCCATGTCACAGGCACACCTCTGCTTGTTCCTCAGGAGGAAAGAAAAGACCAGAGACAACACCCTATACAGGAACCTCAACCCCTGGGGAAAAAAAGAAGAGGTGCTGCCAATGATTAAACATGGAATGTGGCCGGGCCTAGCACCAGGCATGTCCTGGGACAATTAGCTGTTAGGAACTTGTAGCTCCTTTCTCTCCCTCTTTAGGCAGGAGAAAACTCCTTTTCCCCCCACTGAACTAAGCATCTAGGTCCCCTGCATTAAATGTACTGAAACATTTAATGTGTAAAGGCCACACTACCCCCATTAAAGTAAAATGAAACCTCTAACGCAACTGGTATCACCCCAGTGCCACATTAGATGTGCTGGGTCATCTAATGAATGAAACTTGGACCCATGGGGAAATAAAGGGCCTGACATCAGTGTAACTGACAGCACTTGGCACCTTGCAAGATCAGGCCCTGAGTCCATAGGCCAGGGAAGGGGACCAGTGTGGTGGATCTCGGTGTGTATATGGAAAACGCTAAGGAGAGGGTCCTCCTTAAGAAGCAGAATCTCTCTCCCCTCAACGTGGAAAAAAATATGTTCTGTTCTGTTAATACAGCACTCAAGCTGAGAAATTGCACATACAAAAGTCAGGGAATGCTGAAGTTAGTGTTCCTACAGCAACGTTAACTAGGCCATGCTGCACACACATACACTCACCATGTAGCCTCTTTGTCTGGCTACATGAAATCCATAGCATATTATTTAGGAGGAGGTTAAATGCTACTTCTTTTGTATGCCTCCCCTATGCTTGAAATAGTTTGCCAAACTGCTCCCTCATTAAAGCCCATTTTGACTAAGCTTATCTTTCCTACTTCATTCTCCTCACCAATCTCTTCTCACCCTCCTCTATTTCACAGTAATTCTATTTATTACAGTAGCACTTAGCAGACCCAACTGTGATCATGTGGCCCCATTGTGCTAGACAGAGAAAGTCCCTGCCCCGAAGAACTCACACTCTAGGTAGATAGGACAGGAAAAGGAAGCAGTATCTCAATTTTACAGATGGGGGAAGTGAAGCACAGAGGTTAAGTCACCAAAGAAGTCTGTGGTAGCATCAAGAATTGAACTCTGATCTGTAGAGTCCCAGTACACATCTCTAGCCATGGAACCATGCTGCTTCTCCCTTAATAAACTACTGTCCTGAATCTCTTCTTTGTCTTTCAGACACTCTGTACTCTTCCTTCCCTGCTCTTTGAGGGAAGGAATGAATCTTACACTCGGTTCTGAAATATGCACCATCCATTTATCGTGCTATATAAATGGTTAGTAATAATACAGAGAACTCGTCAGGCGTGCCATGTAGCCAAGTTAACTTCCTGGTGCTTGATCTCTCATTCTCAATGTTGCATTAATACACATTTTTGTGCATTGACTATTACTGGCCCACAATCACCCAAGCTCTCTCAGACATCCAACCACAGTATGTAGTTCTCTAGCCACGGGAGGCTGTGAATTTTGTAGGCGGAGTGTATGCGGTGTGAAGTAATTCCCCCTCCCCCGAATGTATAAGTGCTATCTTGTTCTTGTTTTATAGGACATGGAAAGAAAGGGGGCTCTGAGCAATTTACAGTCTACTCTTAAGCACTCCAATCCGGCCATTTGAGGAGTGGATTCATTTTACTAGGTATGTCTTGTTACACAAGATTTACAATAGCACCTATGTGCTTTTAGCATTAGCCACCCAGCCTGAAACAGAGGCCTTGTATGCAGCATTCTTTAAAATATCATTATAGTCTGAAATTCACTGGCAATTTAGAGAACTTGGAACTTTTGTTTTACTGGAACCCACTTAACTCCTTAAGCATCACATTTTGCCTAGCCTTGCTTGATGGTCAAATATAATTTTAAAGATGTATTTCAGTCTGATCACAGAATCATAGAGCCATAGGGTTAGAAGGGACCGCAAGGGTCATCTAGTCTAACCCCCTGCCAATATGCAGGATTTGTTGGGTCTAAACCATCTAAGACAGATGGCTCTCCAGCCTCCTTTTGAAAACCTCCAGTGAAGGAGCTTCTACAACCTCCTGAGATGTCTGTTCCCTTGTCCTACTATTCTTACAGCTAGGAAGTTTTTCTTGAGATTTAATCTAAATCCGCTATGCTGTAGTTTGAAATCATTGTCTCTTGTCCTGCCCTCTGATCAGCTGTGTCCCTGGTTATATTTAGTCATCTCTACTTTACACAGAGTTTAATTATATGTGTGGTTTATATGTCCCAGGTTGTGACCTGGAAAGAGACTGTCCTAGTCTTTCTCTGGTTAAATAAAACCAGGACAAAGCCTTCTATTACTCAACACACAACACCTTTAAGTATCAGTGAGCACAGGTCACTGGATAAGAGGCAGTTCAAAATTGCATGGCTTTATAACACAGCCCTTTCCTGTCAGGGCACTGCACACGGGTGCATCATCAGGGACTTGTGTGGTGTAACATGCACTGCCAGGAAAAGGAACACTCACCACCTGGAAATGTCAGGTGTTGCCATGCACGAGTGCAAAATGGGAGCCCCAAGGCATTAGGGGTGAACGCACAGAACAGGTCTGCCAGGGAATGAATCCCCTTGGGGGATCAGGACCCTCAAGGCTTTTAACTGTGTATTCAGGGAAAGGATCCCCCCAATGGGGTAACACAAAGACTAACTGAAGAGCAAATTCTAGCTGCTCAGGAGAGATTAGCTAGTGGAGGGGGAAGGAACCAAGATGTGAAGGACCCAGTCTTGGGACACAGGGAGGACACAAACTTTCTAAAGGTTTGATTTGTTTTTTAAATTAAAAAAAACCAAACCACAAATTGTCAAAAGTGGCTTTCCCCAACTTCCAACACAACATTTAAAAACCCAAGGGCAATTCAACAGCTCTCCACCACTCTAGCAATGCCACGCATGCTTCTTGGCAAGGAGGCCTGCCAGAGCCCTGTTGGTAAACCCACTGCCAGTACTACATGCTTGCCATACCAAGGGAGTAGGTGAGAAGAAACAGGAGGTAACTGGAAACAGGGCTGGGTTGGGGCACTAGTAAATATGTTGCAGTGCTATGCAATACCCAGGTCTTGGCTGCTGAGACTGGGAAGGAGGTAGAAGCAGAGTGCTCAGCTTTGGAGAGCAGGAAGTGGCCCATGTCCTCTCTAGACTATTATGGAGTAGAACTGATGGTTTCTGGAAGTAATCCTGGCTAGCCCTCCTCAAGCAGAAGAATGGTAGTTGTAATATGGGTCCTCAGTGGGAGAAGAGGTGAGCAGGAGAAAAAGTGGCTATAAGAGCAGGGGGGGAGAGGGAATAATATAAAAGCAGCGGCAAGACCGAACAAGGAAGTGAATCAAAGGCCAGAGCTGGGACCATAGTCCCTATTGCTTCTCATCTGATCCCAGCTCACTACTTGAAAAGAGCTTTAGGCTCGGCTTTGCCCTGCAGGGTAGTCTTTTAAGGAGAATGCTGGAAGGCTACCAGGCCCTGATCCGAGCAGCCCTTCAGCTTGGCAGAAAGCATCTTTCGGTGTAAATAAACCTCTGATTTAAAAAGAATCAAAGCTGGAGATAATTGCAAAGCTTGCTATTGCTGTTTTTCTCAAGAATCTGCATCTACTTACCATTCCCTGAGCTCTTTCCTGTGGAACCAAAGTCCTGGCTGCCCATCTCTCCCCCACCCCCTATCTTTTCCATGCAAGTTTCCCCAGACATACATACACAGTATACTGTGCACGGTCAGATGGACGCGCACACGCACAGCACAATGCTGAGGCTAACCATACAGTACAATGGTAATTTCCCTCTCCGTGCAGAGCCAGGAGCTGGGTAGAAAACCATTTATCTGCGGCCTACCTTCCGATTCCGTCAGGTCTGAAATGAAGGCAGCAGCCGGGCTTCAGTGGCAGGGACTGGGGCTGCTTCTGTGAATCAGCAAAGAAGTCCCTGTGACTGGGATGCATGCTGAGGCTCAGTGCTGCTGTGTGCATGCTCTCTGTCTCTCCTCCTCCACCACCCTGGGCTTCTGTGTTGCTATGCAATCAGATCACCAGGAGTAACAGCATCTCTCCAACCTCAGGCAGAGATATCCTTGACTGGGTAATGCAGGAACGCACCCAGGGTAGTTCTGTGAAGTGCCTGGAATTTTGGAGGTTCCTTGGCTGGAGATCAAAAGAAGGAATAGAAGCGGGGAGATACAAAGGAAGAGAGACGCACACGGAGGGAGGAGGAGACAAAATACACACAGAGGTAGAGCGAGAGAAATACAGACACACAAAGGCAGTACAGCCTGACCTCTGGAGACCTGACAGTCTGCTGGATTCACACACACACACCCCATGCAGCCTGCCGATGTCTATCAACAGCATTTCTGGGGTGGTGTGGCAGCTCTTGTTTTAGGATACATGTGTCCATGTGTGTGCTGGAAATTGCTAGACAAGTTCTCAGTTAAGGAATAAAGCAGCTTAAATAAAAACCCAGGCATTCTTTACTCTTACAAAAATTTAATAATTTCAATAAAAATGTGGTTATTTTAAAGTCAAAGGGGAAAAATCATTGTGTTTTAGGCCCATTTTCTGTTTCTCTTGCAAAAGGAAAATAACTAGATGAGTCCTACAATCCCAACTTGGGGTATGAAATCCCAACCCAGACTTTGCCACGTTTGGCAGTGTTTGGATTCAGCCCCTTAGAAACAGAGGGCTTGAGCACTAACTTGACTTTGAAACCACATTCAGACCTGGGATTTGGATTTGTGCCCATATGTAACAAATAAATAGCTACAGTTACACTTTGCATTTTTTTGCCACTTTCCGCTCAAGGATCTCAAAGCACTATACTATTATTTAATAATTTTTATCTCCACTGCTACGATGATCAGTGCTCCCCACAACACACACCTTTTGAGATCCAGGGGTCCTACACATGCCAAGCACAACATGTGGTGTACCTCAGCCAGTGCATCAAATGCCCCACCAATAACTACAAGGGTGAAACGAGACAGACAATCACTATGCTCTCAAATGAACTCTCAGAAAAATTATAAGAGACCTGTAGCCAAACACTTTTCACAAAGTGATCACTCCATATCTGACCTGTCCTCATCCTCAAAGGAAGCCTACATGACACATTCAAAAGGAAAGCTTGGGAGCTTAAATTCATAACTCTGCCAAGACTCTAAAAATCATGATCTCAGCAAAGATACTGATTTTATATGACTCATTACAACAATCTGAGAAACCCACTTACTCTCCTTTGTCCTATGACTGCAGAGATGTTAAGTGTCCACTTCATCTTAAATGGTCTGCAACAATCCTTATGTTAAATAACCTGTACAGTTTTGTATTTAGCTGTGACACTCTGAATACCTTTCCCAGACCTGAAAAAGAGCCTTGAATAGCTTGAAAGCTTGTCTCATTCACCAACAGAAATTAGTCCAGTAAGAGATATGACCTCACCCACCTTGTCTCTCTCATATCTGGGATCAACACAGCTACAACAAGGAATTTTTCCTGTCTGTTTGCCAGGGGACACTGTTTCATAAAGCAGCTATGCCCCTAATCCACTCAACACCAGGTCCATGTGGTGTTCACAGAGGGGTTTGCAGGAGTTAAGGGAAGGGGGGGTCAAGCTGGTGCCTCAACACCTTTAGGACCCCAGGAACAGAACTAGTTTCCTTTTAGGCCTGGTTTACACAACAAAATTAGGTCGGTTTAGCTACATCAGTCAGAGGTATGAAAAATCCACACCTCTAGCAGCACTGTTAACCTGACCTGAGTCCCCAGGGGGACAGCATTAGGTTGATGGAAAAATTCTTCTGTCAACCTACCTGCCATGTTTCAGGGAGGTAGATTGTGTCTACACTGTTGTGCCGCTGTAGCATTAAGTGTAGACAAGCCCTTAGTCCTACTGTGTGGAGGAAATGGGGATGGTAACAGGATATGAAGCCTTTCACCTTTAAATCACCAGTTTAAATCTGGTCCAGGTTGAGGGTGGCAGAACTATTACAATATTCTGTGAAACAAATTTGATAGGTCTTAGCACAGTTCCCAGTGAACAAAGTGTGCACATCATAATTGCTACTAACTGGTACCCTGAAAAAGGAGAATTCAGGGAACATGAAGGATCCAAGGAACACAATATGTGTCAATGGCAGAAGAAGTGCAGAGGGCTGTTCCCTATGGAACATATTCATGTGCCTGAAATTGGGTCTGAGTGATTTTTGATGCAGGATGCATGTAAAAACATTGTGTCAACACCATCCCTATCTGGCATCGAGAAATTTGCATACTATTTTGATGCAGGAGGTGCTCCTCTCCAAGCATTCACCACAGAATGAGTAACTGGGCACAGAGTAGCTCAGCACAATGCAGAGGGATAGCCGAGAATGGTGTACTTTTCACACCTAAGGATCGGAACCTGCGTGATGTTCCAGTACAGTATCAAACATGTCTTCTTTGCAAGTAGGAGAGGACAAAAAGTCCCTTGTTCCAGGGCAAGGAATGAAAATAGAACTGGCGGTTCTGACTTTGAACTGAAGAGAATCGAAGACTTGTTGCCCACTAGATTGTTGCTACTTTGTTTAAATAATTGATATCAAGTAAATTCCTCTCCCTTCATCCCCAGCACGAATAACCATAAGGAGAATACCTCAGCGCTGATTTTATCCTGGCAACATTTTGCATTAAGTTGTTTGGGGGGAAAAAAACAGTGGAGTTCTTTCTAGTGGCATTCTGCTTGGGCGGAACAAATACAGACAGACAGATTACACATGCTCAGAAATCAGACTGGCTCCCTTTATGATTGCCCCTGCGTAACAACTCAAAGGGTCCTTACCGAATAAGCGGAAATGAGAAAGATTACAGAGGAGGAGGAAAAATCCTTTCAGGGCATATAGCATCCAAGACTGTGGAGTGGGGTGCGGAGGGGGAGAGAGAAGGAGTGCAACAGGAAAAGGAGGGGGCAAAGAGAAATAGAAAAAGGAAAAATCAGGGAATGAGAGAGGAGACAATGGTAGCAGGGTGGAGGGAATGGAGCACAGACAGCTTTCATGGCTCTTTTTTGTTCTTCAAAGGCTGTCAATATGTTTATGCTGTGCCTTTCCATCTCCCTCCCTATTTACTGGGTTTTGTACACAGGAGGAGGAGAGCCATCACACAGGAGCTGCTGGAAATTCGGTTAGACACAGAACAGAGGTGCCCTAAGAGAAAGGAAACTGCTTAGTGATGCATGCACAATGTACCACATTGCAGCCCCAGAAAGTCTTGAGGCTTTCTCCTGGCCCCCTCTCTAGAGATCAGTCTCTTCCTGGTGAGATCATATCCAGGGCCTGCTACAAGTCTAGCTGGTGGGGAGAAGTAGGTTGAACTGAGTGACAGCGCAACTTACACATGAAAAAAAAAAATAAGGAAAATTCTAACTCTACACGTATATAGCACCTTCTGGGCGAGGATCTCAAGTGTATTAGACCTCGAGGGTAAAACTGGCAAAAAGCACTTCAGTGACTTAGGAGCTTAAGATCCATTGACCGTCAGTGAGACTTAGGCTCCTGAGTCACTTCTGAAAATGGTACTTAGGCACCTTTGGAAATTTTACCCTGAGCCACTAAGGGTACATCTACACTGCCTTTGAAAATCCGCGGCAGTGAATCTGAGAGCACAGGTCTACAGACTCAGGCTAGCAGGGCTTGTGCTATGGTGCTAAAAACAGCAGCACAGACATTGTTGCTCGGGCTGGAGCTTGGTCTAAGCCCAGGGAAGGAGGTTGGCTTCAAAGCAGCTGTCTTTAGCGCTGTAGCAGGAGCCTAAGTCTGTAGAACCTGGGCTCCGAGACTCTCTGCCATGGGTTTTAAAATGCAGCATAGACATCCCTATGACTCACAATACCCCTATGAGGCAGGAAAGTACCAACCCCACTTTACAGTTGGGGAAACTGAGGCACAGAGAAATTAAACCACTTGTCCAAGGTCACAGATTAGGAAGTCTGTCACAGAGTAAGGAACCAGACCCAAGTCTCTCAAGGCCCAGTCCAGTATCTTGAGCAAAATCCTGTCATTGCTTATACATGTGCTTAACTTTTTCATAGTGGTCGCACTGAAGTCAATGGAATTACCCACATGTATAACTGATTGCAGGATTGGGCTGTTACTCAGGAATTGTGTAACATAACTGTCTGTAGAGTTCCTGGATAATCCTTAGCTGGAACCACACCACCATTCCCTTTACGATTCTCTAAAATAAAGTCTGGTAGCACAAACCAGCACCAGTGACCAGTAAGTGTCTCGAGAACTTCACCGATTTTAGTATATAAGTAAATGGTTTCAGACAGCCAAATATTAAGAAGCCACAATGTCTAGGGCATGGAGTACACCACTGGGAAGAACCTGGGTTCTAATCTTCAGTAAACCAGCTGCTGATTGCGTGACTGAAGACAAACCACTTTCCTTCCCCATCAGCCTACCCAGCTGGAAACTACAGAGTAAAAATCACTGCATTAAAAGAGAACCAGGTGTTGCAGGCTCTGAGCCGAACTTTTCTGGACGGAAAAAATGCCCCAGGACTCTGGTCTACCTTTCAGAATAACCATCATAAAGAGCAAACTTACTGCTGCTCTTTGTTCTTTACAGACCAGGTGCCTCCGATGGCTGAAAAGCAGATAGAACCCACCTTACTCCTCCTGCTCAGGAACTGCCTCACCACAGAAATAAGCAGCTCACCTGGGTAGCAAGGTTTTTGTGTGGACAAAGTAGGACACTTGATCAGCTGGTCCGAGCCCATAATTAACCATCTTCATCTCTTCTGTTCTGTGGGCAAAGATTAGCAATAAATCATTTTGTCACAGTGCCCAGGAGGTTATTGCTTAGCACTGGGGTTTATAATGGAGCATTAACTCAGACAAAGGCAGCAGGAGATGGTGGTTAAAGTAACTGCTAGGGGTTAAACTCAATTGATAGGGGTATTGAAGTAAGCATTAATCGTTGTCCTTTGGTACCAGTTACATGCCATTAGAAGACTTCACGAGCATACACATTGGCAGTTGTTAGAGCTGCTATCCAACCCTCAGAGGTTCAATTTTCTGAGTGGCTACAGCTGTACCACCTTCTAAATCCTTGGGTCCTCATTTATTCATAGCATTAGGAATGCAAAATGCAAGCACACGGAAGTAGGCCAACAAGAGAATAGAAAGCAGGAACACAGAGGAACCGGTTTCTTCATTCCAGCAGAAAATGGGTTGAAGCTGTTAACTCTTTCAGAACAGGCCAAGTGGATCTG